CAGGAGATCTTCGTCAAGCTCAACAAGTCATTGGGGAACTGCAGTGGTTGGTTACCCGAACACGACCTGACATGGTGTATCATGTTGGTGTCATGGCACGTCTTGCGCACCGATGAGCAAGACATGTGGTCAAGCTTGGAGATGAGTTACTGAAGTATTTGAGTGCAACGAGCTCAAAGGGTTTGCACTACATGAAGACCTCAGCACAAAAACCGTATGGTCGCAATGATGAGCTGGCCACGCAGGTGTCGATCAACAACTTGGAGGTGTTTGTGGATGCTTCGCACGCCCTGGAGCATGAGAACTACAAGTCGGTGACTGGGGTGATACTATGTGTTGGGGGTTCTCCCATCGCATGGGCAAGTGGCAGACAGCCGTTTGTTACCACTTCAACAGCCGAAAGCGAACTGGTGAGCTGTGGAGAAGGTTTCCAGTGTGGAGAAAGCCTTGCAGCACTCCTGGAGGTGATGGGCGTTGGGGACATCAACAAGACCCTCAACTGCGATTCCAAAAGTGCACTTCACTTGTGCACCAATGACACAGGTAGTTGGAGAACAAGACATCTGAGGATCAGGTATGCTCGACTTCGAGAAGCGTTTCAAGATGAGCTCTCGCGATGGTGTGCGAGGCATGTCAGTGGTTTGGTGCTTCCAGCTGATGGAGCGACGAAACCGCTTCAAGGACCAAACATGGACAACTTTGTGGACTCCATCTACCTGGACGATCTCAATGATCTACGACGTGCAGAAGATGAGCTGAGAGCTGAGGAAGAGATAGTAGTGAGGCTTCTCTCAACTGGCCAGACGCTGATGGAGACAGATGACTCTCAGTGTCAAGAAACTGGTCTGGGCCTCATCGTTGCTGCATGTTGGATGATGAAAAAGAGGGAAAGGGAAAATGAACCTTCCCCACCATGGTCAGTTAGGGAAAATGAACCAACTGACATGGAAGAGGCCAACGTCAGGGCACCAAATGAACCGGCGTTGAGACATGAGGGTAGGGAAGATGAACCACCCCGTAGGTTGATGAAAACCATGGTGAGGGCCCCAAATGAACCCACCATGCGAGAAGAGGGCAGGGAAAATGAACCGCCCAACAAGAGCCAAAAGGAGGCCATGCAACCTTTCCCAAAAGGGATGATCGATGTGGAGGGGAAAAGAAACTTTAGGGTTTCAAACATGGAGCGTAGTCTTAGTGCTGAGTACTATCCTCAAAGGGATCAAGTTTCCTCCCCACAAAGATCATCTCAAAACCTTGACAACTGCCCTTCGGGCTGCCACGGGCCGCAACTTCGGGCGCTCAAAGTCAGCCATGGGAAGAGACGTCAACAACAAGGTCTTTCGAAGAGGCGCCAAGGGGATGGGCATGGTTTCAACTGCAACTTGGTTGGTCGTGCTGAGCAATGGCATGGACTTGAAGGAGATCCGATTGAGGACTTCTCTGTTGAGGACCTTGGGCTCGAGCCGCCAACTGAGGTTTTGGGTGCCGGGCGACACGCCATGGAGAGCACGGCGAGGTCGTCAGGGAGTTCGGCAACAGGAACTTCTTCACTGCCGGCTTCGAGGGCAACCGAGGGAAAAGGCCACAATGGCCAAGATGATGGCCAGCCTGGCCATGGAAAGGGCCAAGGAGGTCACTACAAAGGCCAACAAGGCCAGATGGATGGTCAGCCTGACCAGAAAGGAAAGGGCACTGGCAAGGTGTCTGAACGTGGTAGGGTGGCAATGCTGAGCCCTACAACCTCAGCCATTTGGGCTGGAGCAGAACCCCAACAGCTTGGACCAGTTCAACAACGTGGGCAAGCAGCAATGGGAACAAGAGTGATGAGGGGCAGTCGCTTTGGGTTTGAGTACGTGCCGATCCGCAACTATGATCCACGTCTTCGAGAACCAGAACCACAAGAGCGACCTCCAAGACCACCAGCGCAACAGGTGGATGAAACGCAGTCTGATGGGAGCTATGAGTTGGTTTCAGAGGCTGTGGATGAGGAGCAGCCCCCACAGACTGAAAGGCAAGTGCAGTTGGAGGGCAAGCACGGTGCAATGGCTATGCCCCCACCAGGTGGAGATGGAGATGATCCTGGCCGAGATCGTCGAAATCGACGAGAACCAGAACGAGACCATGGGCCGGACGCTCCAGCGGATGATGAAGATGAAGATGAAGAAGAAAGTCCACGTAGGACATGCACAACCCTGGATGTCAAGAGGCAAAGAATGGCTTGGGCGCGACCCCCTGGATACTGGTTTCGGGGACGTGGCAGAGGCACCAAGCAGGATGTGGAGACGGGCAAGGATGGGTCAACGATCATCCATGGGGCGCTCAGTCCAAACCTGTCCTGGCAAAGGATCTTCGCCAAGGGCTGTCGACCCCGCCAGCTCTTCACACATGACCAAGGAGGAAAAGGTTCAGCGCAGGCAGCCCCGGTGCTGATGGGGCGTGGCGATACGCCGGCTGAACAGAGGAGAAGCATCCTCCTGGCGACGGCCAATGCAAAGGCGGTCCAGGCGTTGCGCACAGCCGACCAGGTGAATGTCACCAGCGAGGACTCCAATGAGGTGGCTCTGGCGGTGGGGGCAGCTACAGCAGCGGTGGACTACGCTGCGGATGTTCAGGAGATGACGGAAAGCGGCACCACCCCAGGCCAAGCTGGCAGCAGCAGCAGCAAAAGTCGCACCTCTGTCGCACGACTTGGAAAAGGCAAACCAGCCACTACTGGCGAGCTGCAGGCCCACTACGCAGCGAAGGGCAAGGCAAAGGGCAGTGAAGCCTTGGAGCCTGTGGCAGATGGTTTGCATGAAGATGGCAGCGAGACTGCGGAGGAAGAGGCCTCTGAGAATGACATGGAGGTCATCCCTGAAGAGGACGAGGGCGATGGCGATGATGATGGAGGTGATGATGGTGGAGCCGAAGGGCCTGCAACAGACCCACCAACAGCTACCACAGCAACCGAGGTGGCAATCACTTCGACCACTGCGGGTGACCCAGCGAATGTTGAGGAAGAGGTCAACGCAGAGCCAGAGAACGTTGAAGAAGAGGTCAATGTGGAGCAGGACACAGAGGTTGGAAATGCGCGCCCTTCAAGGGTGGTGCGCAACGACCCGGAGCATGAGATGGCGCCGATGGTCCCAGGAAGTTTGGGGCAACAGATGCGGGCAAAGGCAAGTTTTGGCATGGCACCAGCACCGCCAGCGCAGCATGTACAGCAGGTGATGACAGCGCTGATGCAGGGCCAAACAATCCCTTTGACGTATGGACGTTGGGTCCAGTGGGATCAAACCAGTTGGGTTGGATCCATGCAGACCTACAGATATGGTGTGCTCAATGGCTTGCAGGTGGAGATGGACTTTGCGCAGGTGGGCTTGATGCTTCGCCGGCCAGTGGTTCCTGGGGTGACGCATTCGCTTGCGCTCCAAGGAAATGTGGTGGCTGTGCCGAAGAATGGGCTGACCAGAGAAAGCACAGAGGAGGAGGCTGACCCAGGGGTTCCGTTTGAGCACGGGATGGTTCAACCTGGAAAGAAACCGCCACCTCAGGCTTGGTTTCAACAACAGAACATGCAGGAGTGGATGAACCGCATGGCCAAACCACCAGCAGTTCCAGTACAACATGCAATGCCAGGTCCACCACCAGCGGGCCCACCACCTCAGGTGAGAGCGGGACCACCTCCAATGGGTCCACCTCCGGCCAAGGCGATGGCGAGGGCAGCTCCGAACTATGTGCCTGGACCTCCACAAGGGCAACCACCAATGGCTGCGCCGATGCAGCAAAGACCACAAGGTCCGGCAGGATATGGTGGTAATCAAGGTGGCAGTCTGCAGCCACCACAACAGCAGATGATGGGAAACCCTGGTCAGAGGGCGACGTTGTCCCATATGTTGCGGATGACTGGCGAACTTCGAGCAGAACGAGGAGTTCAACCAGCCAAAGCTGCAGCAGACTTGGGTCTGCGACCGGTGTTGCGTCCGCCAACGACAACATCGAAAGCTGCAGCGAGTTCCACAAATGTTTATGTGGAGCGCCGTGAAGAGGCTGCCGATAGGGTTACGGTGAGATCCGATTCACCGGCCCTGTCAGTGACTTTGAGCTCTACGGCATGATCCAGGTGGAGCGCAATTTTGACAAGATGCTCTTTTGAGGGCCGGACATTTTTTCTTTGGCAGGGTCTTTACTGCCAACAAGTCAGCTGAGGCATGAGTCTTTACGTGCCGAGGTTGATTCCAAAAGGTGCGAGTCTTTATACGCACTGTAGTTTTTCACTCTTTAAGACCAGTGGGGCCTAACAACCACCTGGCGTCACTGGCAAATCCAATTTCTTTTAGAGCCTTGAGCCCTGTAAAGAGCCTTCCAAACACAAGGCACGAAAACTCCCTTTTTATACACGACGAAGTCGTGGGGGGAGTGCAAAAGGGTTCATGTACATGACTGTGACATGCTGGACAGGTGAAGTATCTGTTCTTATCAGTGTGCACCACAACTCAACTAGCTTGACTGCTAGGCTCTTTTAGGATCAAAAGGCGCGCTGCTCTGCCTTGCACACACAGAATGATTGAAACCCAAAATTGGAATGTTATGTGGTTGGGAAACTCTATTTGTAGCTCGGGGTTTCCCCACGACTCTGAAACAGCAAACATGATTTCGGTGGCGCCCCACAGATAAATGTTTGTTGGTTTATGTTCACCTCATTAACTATAGATAATAGATAAGTAAAGAAGTACATATATGACAACTTATAACAAGCAAACAGAACTAACCTTTTGACCAGCTAAATGGTTATAAACCCCACTAGAGCATATAGATTCTGATGCATATACCATGCATCTACCACAAATCCAATGTACATTGCCAATCTTAGATACCTTGCAAAAAAATCTTTGCTGGTTAGTAGATATTCTCATTGATACCAAAAGACTAAAGGATTAAATTATCCATCTAAGATTGCCCTAGTGTAGGTCACCAACTTAGTGATTCCAATCTGGGGTCCCTCCGTTTCTTCAAGCCACGGATGTACCGGGTTCACCAATCCTGAGGCCCAGAAACACAACGGAATTGAATTTCTCGTGAATCTCTGAAAAAATATGGAGCTACTAATATCATTTACAAGATCTAATCTTAATTTGGATCCTGAAAAAAGGGCGATCAAATTGATCAAATATGAAAATTCAAGTTTGAAAAGGACCATCATGAGAAATGACCATGTTTGTTGCGGATTTAGGGGGTACGTCATTGTTTCAGACTATGGTTTGAAGGTAGACCCTCATGGGTACTACCCATGGGTCAAGGTGCAGTTTATATCAACTGTGGAGCCTATGGGATTCTTCTTGCTCCAGCCAACAAATCTAGTCTAGACCTAAAATAGACCTAGCACAAGTACTTAATTTTAATATAGACCTAATCTGGTTGGTGGTTGAGCCACCCCTCTGAAAAATACTAGTCAGTTGGGATGATGATTCCCAATATATGGGAAAATAAAAGCCACGTTCCAAACCACCAACCAGTAATATTAGTTTATTAAGCCATTCCATCAAGCAATCATTTTTGTTGGCTATTTCCGAAGCCAAACAGGGAATGATCAATCCCAGGTGGGGATGTTTTGGATGTATATATTTTTGAGAACAACACCGGAAAGACTAGCTCAACATAGCTCAACTATATATATATATATAATATATATAATATATATATATAATATGATAGATTATAGATAGTTATATGGGGGATCACCTAAAATGGTGCATCCCCAAAGTCACCATGGGTTTCAATACTCATTCATGCTCGTTCATGCCATGGATGATTTGCGTGCCAGTTGGTGACTATCTTCCACCCCCAGCCCCCTCATCCCCCTCCGAATGTGTTTCAAAAACCATGGAATGCTGCAAAATCTAGCAGTTCATCATTGTCCCCATTCAAGTCGCCATACCATGTGCCCCCCCCAAAAAAAACAGGAAAAAAAAACTAAAGTTATGGCCCTTAACAGTTATAACTGGGATTCTAAATCCTATAACTAGTTGGTTATATATCATGACATACTCCCAGTTATAACTGTTAGGCCAGGGCCATAACTGTAGCATTTCAGCAACATTTTGTTTGGATTCAAAGCTCTGATCAAATCTTGGTCAAACTCGGTGTAGGAATCTTCACGAGGCTTGGCCGCCATGGGGATATTGCGCAAACGCACCTGCTGCAAAGTCTCCTGGATCCGGATCCGGAGCCGGTAATGAGAATCCCATCCCCCGGATAAGATGATTATCTGGGAGAATTTTTAAAACTGTGGGAAGGGAATGGGATACATAAAAATACATAAAACATATATCTCCCAACATGGAACCATTCACGATTCTGCTGGTGCCCTTTTTATATCCCTCATGGGAGTTCACCCTGTGTTGGAAGAAAGGGCCATGGTTCACCAAGGGAAATGTGTGTGTGTGGTGTGTGGTGGGGGGTTGCGGATATGTATTGGTTCCCAGGGATGTAAAAAAAACTAAAAAAGAAAAACAAGAACAAAAAACAAAAAAACTGATCATTCCTGCCCATTTGTGCTCTTGTTGGTTCTTGTTTGTTCTTTTTGTCTGATCTTTTCTGTTTCTTTTTGACTATTGTTCGCTCCTTTTGGTTCTTTTTGGTTCATTTTTCTGCTCATGTTTGCCTGCGTTGGCTCTTTTTGGCTCATGTTTGTTTTTTGCCTCTTCCGGGCTTATTCTTGCCTTTTGAATATTTTTGTTCATGTTCATTTCTGCTCTTAGTCTTTCTTTTTTTTGTATTTATTTGCCTTTGTGTTCGCTCAATTTTGCATATTGATGCTCATGTCTGCTCTTGTTTGCCCAATTTTGCTCTGTGTAGCTCGTTGGTTCTTTTTTGCAGATTTTGTATATATATATATATAATATAGTTGTTGTTGTTTTCATGGACATATATAAATGTAAATATATGCCATTGTATGAAATGAGTTGTGTTTTCCCAGGGCGCAAGTCCAGGGCGCTACTCGGCTGTCAGTTGCATGTGGCCAAGCCACTGGATGACACTGCTGTAATCTTAGCTGCTGTGGTGTGTGGGGTTCTGGTTGGTGGTTTAATATATTGTTAATATGATGGTTATTTAACATAGCCATGGATAATCCCTAATAAATGGAGGTTTTCATGGGAAAATCATCTATAAATGTGCCATTTCCCATGGCTATGTTAAAAAACCTGAGGGTAATATGATGCTTATTATATGGTTAATGATGGTCAACAATATATCTGTTTGGTGGTTGAGCCACACCTCTGAAAAATGATGGAGTGAAAGTCAGTTGGGATGATGAAATTCCCAACTGAATGGAAACATAAAATTCATGTTCCAAACCACCAAGCAGGGTTAATTTTTGTTTTACTTCAAAGCATGACCCTTTACTGTAAGCTGAAGTTCTGTGAACCTGATGTTCATCGCTGTCAGCTGTGGTGCAATAAGAAGGGACAGGAAACCATTGGAAACCTTTGTGCTCGCCGTGTTTGCACTCATGTGGATTTGTTCTTTTCACAAACCAGCTCAGTAGGTTTCATTAGGTTTATTTTTTGGTTTCCTTTATATTATGCCTCTGTTGATTTTGTTTGTCTCTTTTTGATCTGTTTGGCTCCCTTTTGCTCTTTTTTGATCTTTTTTGCTATCTCAAAAAGATGTGCGCAGAAATAAACAAACCCTCTACGACGCACCACGCGCTTTACCCCTACTGAATGGTTAGTTAGTCAACTGGCATCTTTTAGATACCCTCAAAGATTAGTGACCCTCGGGTCATCTCCCACGTAAATGGACGTCGAACTAAGACATACTAGGACCATAGTCTATAGATGTAGGGTTTTCCAGCAAGCGATGATTGATTACCAGAGAGTATACGTTTCCCCAAGTGGGGGCTCTATCACCAATCTGGCTGAATTACAAAAACTGGTTGGTGGTTGAGCCACCCCTCTGAAAAATATGAGTTCGTCAGTTGGGATGATGAAATTCCCTATATATATATATGGAAAAATAAAATTCATGTTCCAAAACCACCAAATAGATAAGCTACTACAACCTGAAAATAGCTGACTTCTTTTTTCGGCGGATGATTCCGGAAATTCACCATCCCAGTGATGACCGAATTCTCCATTGCAACCGTCTCACGGGCATCCTCCACGTCCAATTTTTTCATGAGCAGAGTTCGCACATGTTGGATGGTACTGTGCTCTGCACACCTCAGTTGTGCCCCATGCACTGCCGTGCGCACACCAGTGCTTACCAACAAAAATAAGGGTAGCCGCCATACAAAGGTGGTTCAGGTGGAAAAGATATGGACTCTATCACCAAGAACACATATCATGGTGATTCAAACAATCCGGGTGACTTTCCTAATGCTAGATGGTTAAATATTGGCGTTCATTGGCCCTTAACAAGCCCAAGCATCAGAGGGACCGAACTGGGGGTCTGGTTGCATACCCACGAATGAAGGCTGTCATATGGATCCCCCCATACGATCCCATACGTAATGTCTTATCCAATTTCAATTCTAGCATAACACATTGCTATCTCCATCATATCTCCATGATATCCCCGTATTTTGCTGGTTTTGTCATTTTCCCAAATGAATCCGCCAAAAATAATCCAGTAACTCAACATAGACCCTGCCAAATAGGAGGCTGGAAGATTTTCATTTCCATGAAACACCTGCTATTTTCAGGGTCAATGGCGAGATTGCCGAGAGACGACAGATCCAAATCCACATTCCGTACTTGGCACAGAGGCCATGCCCACAAGTCCTGCGACTGAGACGGACCGAGGCTTTCTGTGGGGATATCATGGGTAACGCATCACTAATTGGTTGACCTACCCCTCTGAAAAATATGAGTTCGTCAGTTGGGATGATGACATTCCCAATATGTGGAAAAATAAAATTCATGTTCCAAACCACCAACCAGTATTATATTTCCAAAAATTGGAATTGACTTACAATAATATTCTATATGGATATTCTACAATAATATGACTTCCAACAATATGATATGGAATATTTCTATATGGATATTTCTTTAATGTGGAATATGACTTACAAGGTGGTGCCCGGCTATAAGTTGGTTTGTGAACCCCAGTAAAATTAGATACATCTACCACAAACATCCATAAACCATAATTAGTTCACCTACTTGTATATTAAACCAACTTAGCTAAGTACTGGGCACCAGCTTGTATACTATAACGAACCAACTGTATCCAACTATATTAGATGTTTGGGTGAGTCTGAGAATGGGCTAATACCCAGGTACCATCTTGTAAGACATACCCATCTCCATCCCCCCGTTCCATCTAAGTGCCCGCACTGAAAAGAAAAGTGTTGCCTCTGCTACATATGTTTTGCCCTTTGTCCAGGCTTTGTATACCCAGTTGAACGTAGGCCTGGTAGGGTATGCTTGTCAGTTATTCCCAGTATACCCCAATCATAAGCCATTTAAATGGCAAATGGAGAAGCTTGATGCCCCAATCATAAATAAGCCACAAATGGCACATGGATTCTCCTATTTTCACAACAGCTTGTGATGCAGGGTAGCTTGATTCTCGAGAGCTCGTGGAGTTGGATGATCATCCTTTTGATATGAAAATAATATTGTTGGTTTATATTTCATCTGGTTGATATGATAAATAAGCAGCAGAAATATATATCATGGCTGTTGGATGATCATCCTTTTGATTCCCCTACCTTGTTGGTTTAGCCATGATTTCTGCTGCACCACTTCAGCCACCTCAAGCTTCCACCAGGATGTGGTGGTCCTGCTCCTCCACCAACATCCTCGGCGGCAATTTATAGAAGAAATCTGGATTTAGTATATGATTCAGCATGGCTTAACTCAGGAAACTGTGGATTTAGCCTGCAGATTGAGACTTTATATGATTTGAGTATACGTATGTATACGTATTCAAAGTATATAATTTATGGTGTTGCGGGGATGGTGTTTTCACAACGTGGCATACCATGCTCCGGCGAACTCGCTGGAAGATTCCTGAGGTACCGCTGGAACCATTAAGTACCCTCTCTGGTAAACCTAGAAAAAGCTATTGAACATGGCCCAGTCGAAATATGTCGAAATAGTGAATTTAGCCATTCGAAATGGTGGATCTTTCCATGGCGAAGTGTTATACGATGGTCCTATGGTAACCTATATGGTTACCTATGGTAACCTATGGTTAACCTAAGTAACCCATGGTCCGAGTTCTCAACCGAGCTTCAGCTGCAGCAACCGCTCCGTGATGGCAGGTCTCTTGGGTTCCGCCAAGGTTCGCCAGCAGCGTTCGTCCTCAGGAATGGGTCGTGAAAAAAGGTCTATGAATGGTTGAAAAATCAGGAATATATTGGGAATATAATGTGGATATAATGGATATACTTAGGATATACTTAGGATATACTTAGGATATACTTAGGATATACTTAGGATATAGTGATGGTATAAAGGGGATACCACTGGGATATAATGCGGATGACAATGGATTGTAATGTATCTGGGGGTGCAGTGGAGGAAGTATTTTTTCAGAACGGCAGCCCCAGGGAGTGCAGTTTTCCCATGATTTAAGATGATGTTTTGAGATGTTTTTACTGATGTTTTACTGCACTCCCAAAGGCACTTTGACAGCTTTGCCTGTGATTCATGCCAGTTTCATTGAAGTACCCCACACTTGTCAAAAACCTTGGAAAAACAGAACAAAACAAAAAAAACAAACAAAAACCATATTTCTAGACTCTTTGGAAGGGGGGGCCCAGCCAAGACTCTCTGTGTTTTTTTGTTTTTTCCACGTTTTTTTTGGTTTTGGTCACTTTCAGCCATTTGCACCTTGTTGTACATTTGCCGTTCGGTGTCTTCATGCGTTCAAGCTTGCAGGAACCTATCGTTTAACCACTGCAGCTATGAACATACTGGGTCTGAGGATCAAGACCGTGTGTTCCAATTTTGAAATGTTCGGACATGTCCTACATAATAACCTTAGTTTTATGCTATATTTTTTTGAAAAACATGTTGCATAAATTGGTAGCACACTTTGCTGAAGTAATACGACCATCTTCTCAAGCATTATTGCATCATCGATGGAATCTGCTGTAGACTCATGTTACACTTTCTTGGAGGGATGCTACACAGATTTGCCAAGAAACTATTCACTTTTAAAAGTAGATATACATACACATATATATATAATATACACACAGTGTGTGCATCTTCAAAGGAAGGCTTTCCTTGATTGACACAGATTTTGCACAGTTTGCAGTGCAGTAAAAAAAATATATATTTTTTGCGAGCAAATGCTGCACTAGTTTGAAAGAGATATTGTAGGTAATTGTGCTACTGCACTCTTTGCATAGGCAGGTAGCACTTGTTTACATTGCCGGCAATAATTATATTTGAATAAGATTGCGTTAAGATTTATGATTTATAATTACAATGTGTTTTGCATTGTTTGAAGCCATATTCTACTTTGATTACAAAGATAAGATATGCTGCACTCTTTGGAAAGGCATTACTTGCAGAAGGTGGTGCAATACTTGCTTTACAACAAAAAACACGTATTTTTTTAACAGGCTTTTGCATCATCAATAAAGTTTACAGTAGGCTCTTGCTACACTTCCTTACAATAATGCTGCGCACTTTGCAAACAAGAATCTGCACTTTCAAAGGTAAAACACATGGTTCAATGAATGTGCCAGTAAGATGGCACTCTTTCCAAAGCCATGCTGTAGTAATTCAAGAATAGATTCAATCTTGCAACACAGCATGTTACATTTTCCTACAGGAATGCTATGATTTCTGAAATCATTCAGTACATACATAGGAGGGTCCCCCTTGAAATTGGGAAGTAATGCTACACATGTTTGAAAGAATGCAACAACGTTTGCAAAAGGTTGTGGCATACATGGAGGAATGGTGTTCTTTATGCAAAGTCATTTTACAAGTGATCTTTGCATGTTTGTTTACCATGATTATTTATAGAGAACATATTGCATAAATTGGTGCCTGTTTCAAACGCACATTTTTTAAATGCTACTTATCTTTCAAACAATGCCATTGTTACATTGAGGAATTGTATTTTTTTTATGCAAAATCATTTTACAAGTGCAGTTTGCAAAATTATTTTGCCTTCATTGTTTATAGAGAACATATTGCATCAATTGATACCTGTTTAGAATGCACATGCCCAAAAAAACTATTGCATATGTTGAGGGAAACTCCTGTAGAGATGTAGGGTCTATACATTCTTAAAGCAATGCTGCACTCTTTGGAAAGGCATTTGCACTTGTTTGTTTTGCTGTTTTTATTTATTTTTCATGTTTGTTTTGGCTGAAACTATGTATCTATGTAGGACATTGGGAGAGCTGTTGAGAATGCACAGTGGTTGCTTTTGTTACAGAAGCAACAATGTTTGGTTTTGGAAAGAACAGGGTTTGGTATCAAAACTTATGAAACAGCGCACTCCCACAGCCTGCCGCTCTCTATTTTTCGGGTGCATTATATAACCATGTTGTGGGAAATTAACTGGGCATATTCACGGTGATTGCACTGCATCAGTTGGGATATCCCCATCGCAAATTAATCGGAGTTGAATTGTCAAGTAACTCGTAACTGTTGAGCAAGTGGTATGAATTTACCCACCCAAAACTGTAGAATCAGGGATATAATATAGTCAAAATAACCTACCTCAAATCAGATGTGACCCAAAAAATTATCCATAATGATGATTTTTCAGTGGTATTTTACCACTTTAAATCAAGATATCATCCCTTACTAAACTGAGAAAATCTGTGACCTATTCCGCTGTGTGCCCCAGAGGTGCCATCCAAGTGTGATTGTCGTCCAGTCTGAACCTACAAAAGGCATCAATTGGAACCCGGGAAAATCTGCAGGAAACAGAGGAATTGATGGGTAAATTGATGGTAAAATCCCATTAAAATTGATGGTAAAATGGTGAATATAGACATTTTAGTTGTTTTACCATCAGAATTTATGGTGGTTCCTGATGGGTAAACACCATCAAATTTAATGGGATTTCCGATGGCTTCCGGCACATGTTCCCATCATGTCCACGCACGTTTGGTTATGGGTCAGAACCTTGGTAAACCATTGAATTTTCCCCATAAATAGCTGGTGAATCGATGATTCTTCTCCCCAGTCCCTCAGTCCCCCAGTCCTATGGCAATTTCATAGGTTTTAACCCATCACATTTCTGGGACGCAAGACTTCAGTTATGGCCCTGGCCTAACAGTTATAATTGGGAGTATGTCATGATATATAACCAACTAGTTATAGGAGTTATAACTCATCCCAGTTATAACTGTTAGGCAGGGCCATAATGAGACTAATAATCATCATCATTTCTATATGCTAAATGTTTGTATTTAATCATTTACAGTATCTTTAGATATCTCCATTGATCATAAATCCATCATTAATCCTGGTCAGATCAGATTAATACACTATATATACCGGCTGGTGGTATACCTACCCCTCTGAAAAATGATGGAGTTAAAGTCAGTTGGGATGATTATTCCATTCCCAACTGAATGGAAAGTTTTAATAAAAGCCATGTTCCAAACCACCAACCAGATATATTGTTATTCCAATTATTAACCATTATTAACCATAGATTAACCATAGATTAACCATCACCAACCAGAGATTAATACATTACTGTAACTGTTCCCCAAGCGTCTCCCAGCAACGCAGCGAAAGCGCTGCTGATTCGCCTCCAGATCGAAATCATGGGGAAATTTTGGTGAAAACCATAGGGAAACCGTGGGAAAACCATAGGAAAATGGTGATTTATTGGTGATTTCACCAAGAAAAATAGCTGGAATGGGATGTCTTAAGCTGATTTATCAAAGCTAAGTTCGCGCAAATAACTCCGATAATCATGGTTAATGGTAGATATATCTATATTATAGTTAAGGGTGTTTTATAAGCCAACTTAGCTATGGTTTGGGGGGGCCCACCTTGTAGTTGCAATCTTTGATTGAAACTTCAACTGGTCTCAAATCATTGATTTGTTCTTCAATACATCTGGCATCGAACATGCAAGATCATGCAAGGACGCTCACAAACCAAGTTGTCATCCCTTCACTCATGGAGTCTGGGGTAGCTGGTTCAGCTGGTTTGGACATGGATCGATTTATTAGAAACAGCGTCGTCCCCAACGGCTGATGACCGGTAAACTGATCAGCCGATTTCAAGATCTCCAGTTGTCTCACCAGTTCGACTTCCATCGAGATCGAGCCGGCTAAAGGAAATGAAAAATATTGAAAAATCACCATGCTATCAATGGGTAAATCCACTCTAAATATTCTAAATCATCCATTTTCCATAGCAAACTGTTAGTCATTACCAGAGGGTATAGGGTTACAACCAGCGGCGAAGAAAGTGGTTGACTTCACAGACCTTCACAGTAACCAGTTGATCAGGCCGCCGAAGGACCATGGGAATAATCTGATGGGAAGCCTAGGATTTCCCGCTCTTCGTTGTGGGGATCTCCCTGTGTACTTTGAATTCAGAAGATATCCAATTTTCTGGATACATAATTTATATATGTTTATTTGAAAAAATAAGATATCCAATTCTGGATGTATACATTAACATAGAGGTGAGAAACAAAATGAACAATGCATGATTTTTGTTTGTATAGTATATCATAATATCACTCACTGCACAATGAATTTCGGAACGGTCAACTCAGCAGCGAAAGTATCACCAACCTCAAAACTACTGTGTTTTCCCAATTTTGGTTTAGGCTATCAACTCTAGTGACACTCTGGTAATTTCATCTAACATAGCTAAAAACATAGGAAATGGCCCGTTTACAGATGATTTACCTATCAACAATGAGTCGGTTACATAGCTACAGCAGCTATGTTAGTTAGCTTACTTGAGGGTAGTCTGTTATTGTCCAAACAACATTTCAAATCAAAAAGATATGCCCCTTCGACAGCCAAGGCACGCAAACTTTCCCAAGAGTTCATGGGTAAAGAGATGCCAGGTGACGCACCTGGGAGAGTGGCTCGGTTGGAAGGGCATAGACCACAGACCTTTTGGTTGTAATAGGTTTTTCCCAGGAACACCCAAACATATTCAGGAAAGGCCTAACCACACTTAATCAAGTTTTTATGGTAGAACTGTACATATAAATATAGAACTGTACTTGACTTTGTGTTTATCTATTATGGGTTCCGAACAATGGAAAACCATGCTATTTTTCGATCCCTTTTCGACAAAATTTCAGCAGCTCCCAAGCTAGGTACTTTTAACGGTTCTTTTCCTGGAGGTCCCAGGTGGTGATATCACCCATAGCACCTTTAAGGTGCCCAAAATGGTCAATCATATTTAAGGTGGAAACTGATACATATATGGCATATTTATGGTAAGTCAAGATTATGAGATATCCATCCATATTTGTCCGAAACCTATGGATTTACGTATCTTAGTTCTATCTTAACATTAAAAACACATATGGAAACCCATTGTTGTTTCCCTCCAGAACATCCTCCACATGTCTGGTTAGTTTTCCATGTGCTATTTATTTATATACTGCATGATAGTTTAAGACTAACAGTGAGCACTTTTGAGGGCCTCATGGTACTAATATTTTCAGTCATACCCAAAACCCCACAGTTTTAGTCATACGGGTTATGTAGTGTGGTTTTGGAATAATGCACCAGCATACCAACGGTAATGTTTACGTAATCTGTATAATGTTTATACAATGTTTATATTTAACCAATAGTCATGTTAATGCAATGTACCCTCTGGTAAACATACAAAAAACTATGGACAAACACCATTTTCAATGGGTATATAAATCCACTCTCAATCATCCATTTTCCATAGCTATGTTAGTCATTACCAGAGGATAACTATCATCAACCAATATTAACCAATATTAACCAATATTAACCAATATTAATGTCATGTAGTGTTTATGGTGTAGATTTCCAACGCATCTCACCGGCAAACTTCAACGCATTTGGTGTACGTGGTTTGACTCGTTGAATCTCCATTGTTTTTTTCCTGGAGGATCATCCCAGAAATCGTGGTGAAGAACCCGAAGACCGTGATCGAACGGGTAAACTACTGGTGAACAAACTAAATAGGTATATTAAATTAATAATATTAAGTTTACTATAATGTCATTGACCAGTTTATTTGGCTGGGTATAGCTGGCTACCTTTTTTTAAATGATTATCATGTTACAAATAATGTGAGAAACGCAATGTCATCAACCATCCATATTTTGCTGGCCCATACCACACGTTGTAAAATTGATTAAACTTGGGGATGGTGGATCTTATTGCTTTACTAACATAATAATGTTTGATTTACAGTCCATTCTAGTTGGTGATAAGATGTTATAATCCCCATATTGGTGGCTTAAACGCTGTGTTACCACCGTTGACTCTGTTCCGTTATGGCCCTTAAGAGTTATAACTGGGACTATACCTCCTCTAACTAGTCGGTTTTTCATATCATGACATAATCCCAATTATAACTATTAGGCCAGGGCCATAACTGTTGACTCTCCCGCTGTGTCGCTAAGTTCCCAAGCATCCAACAGCTCTTTGGCAGTTCCAGTGCTTTCCGCGGCGCGGAAACCGCTACACCGCAGCTGGCGGCCTGGTCACCATGCGGAAAACGCGGCTGAAGGCGCGTAGCATGCTGGGAGGACCAAAAGAACCCAGCTTGAACTGCTTGGGTTGTTTTCTATATTTGCCTTGGTTAACTATGGTTTATGGTAGATATATCGAACTATATACTTCATGGGGTGAAGATAAACCAAAAAAAACAAAAAAACATCACTGAGAGGGCACCACCTTGTACGAGTAGGTGATTTTTGAGGTAAACATGGAGCATGTGGGTATTGATGTGTGCAAAAAGTACGAATTTTAAGCAGCCAGCATGTGTTTCTTCTTTTACCTTAATATTGTGTTTTAACCCAAGAATGATGGAACTCGATTTGGGGTATTACTCTATGTCATTGCAATTTCAAGATATGAGTTTCGAAAACCTCTAAATCATTTGATATCATTTGACTTCTGGGAATGCCATTTATGGACAAACCCACATGTAACTGACTATATACGATGATCTTACAAGTGGTGTTTTGCGGGACACATTGGTATATAAAACATCAACAATTTGGAAATGAAAACTGCAACATGGTGCTTTTGCTTGCATATTCACCAAATTCAGAAAGAGGTTGTTTTTTCCGTAAATCAAACATCAAAAGTTTAATTATATAGTGGACATAAATATATTGATTGTTGCTTACATACCAGCTGTGATGGGCAATTGAGAAATCTAGTGAATTTCCGATTGCGATGTGTGATGAATGGAGGGTAAAAAGGTGGGCCCCCCCTACCTAAGTTGGTTTATAATGCTATACTTTGTGGGGTGTAAAGAACAACTTTTGTCTGGGGGGCTCCACCTTGTATGGTTCCCCCCATCTATGTGCTTCAGCAACTTCTAGTTTCGTCATTTGAGGAGCCACATTTTTCAGCAGTTGGGTAAGGGGATCGCATGCTTGGACCCCGAAGCTAGAAACAATGAGGGTTGTCAAAAAATCCCCAACTTTGATGTCACCTCAGCATATTTCCCATCAAGACCCATTAACATAGCTTTCGGCAAAAACAACAATTCTGCCCTTTCCCATGAACATGGTTATTCTTTGGGTATACCTAATTTTCAGACAGTCCCAACTAGCAGACAGTGTTTGTTTTGGTTATATATATATACACTTTGTTTTGCTTAACCAATATTCAAAACAAACAATTAATGAGTATGCTTACCAATTAATAGGACATTGTTTATATATATATATATTTCTTTTGGTCCCCCAAAAAATTAAACATATTCAATACAGATTCTCCAGTCATGGTGGGTTTTCCATTGGGAAAATAAAACAAATCACGGCGGCAAGTGCCACTGGGGCAGATCACGGCGGTGACAGTGGAACAGTGGACTGTAGCTACCTTGACCCATAGACTACTAATATAAGAGTATTATATATATAGTATATACATAATAGTATATACATAATAGAATATAATAATATACTGTGTATATATATATAGTATATACAATAATATATATATATATATACATACTTTAATGCTCAAACATGTATGGTTTCCGAAATCCATTGACCATCTGGACCCATGATTTGGTGATGGAATCCATGATTTTTTGAAGGTTAAACCTCCTTTCCACTATAGTGGTTTAATTGATTTGGTCCTCTCTTCACAGCTTACTTGAACATGTTTGAACATGTTTGAACATGTTTGAACATGTTTGAACCCCATTTCCACTCTGAATTTTCTGCATGGTTACAATCCCCAAAATTTTCGTAAACATGACCACTCCATATTGGAGAACTCCTCCCTTCATTTCCCTGGGAGGTGAACCCACCTCCGGCGACATCTTCGGCAAGGCCAATTGTGGATGCCCCGGGCGGAGGCTCTTTGCGACCTGGATGACTTTGCAGATGTGCAACTTCCATGAGGATTTTATGCTGGTTGGTGGTTGACCTACCCCTCTGAAAAATATGAAAGTCAGTTGGGATTATGACATTCCTAATATATGGAAAAATAAAAATGTTCCAAACCACCAACCAGTATGGATCATTTCGGATTCATGAGCTGAAGAACTTCAATGTCTTCAATTTATGGCCTGAGATTCTGCTAATACAACCAACATTCATGTAGAAACGGTGTGAAATTCAGCACTTCTTGGGGACTGGCTTTTCAACAATTCAGGGATGTAGTATGATATGTTGCAGAAGCATGCAATGTGGGGGGTTCAAGAGAGATAAATTTCGTTAAAAGTAGAACAACTATTGGATTTATGGTGGATCTACAGTTAAATGGATTTAGAAGCCAACAAACATACAGTATCTGGTGGGCCCAGCTATCAAGGCGAATATTTCAAATTTGGCTATGACAGTATGATGAAACCAGCAATCAGTGTCATTTTCACTGGTAAATCCCCATTTTGCAACAGGTGGGTGTCTCTGAAAATAAACCACAGCACCATGTTCCCCATTTTCAATCAAGACAGGCAACTCGCTCATTTCCAGACACACCAAGTTGAACAGCATTCAAAACCCTATGTCTTTCCATTTGATCCTGGTTGGTTTTCACGGGGGCCATTCCTTCCGGCTTCGCGGCTGCCACCTGAGATGGGTCTCCGGTTTCAGGTACTCCGCCGGCTGGCGTCGCAGGATCCTCTCCCAAGAAGTCGAGCTTCCTCTTCCTTGCCGCCGCCGAATCCACCTCCACAGGACCAGGATTTCTCCTTGACACCCTGACCCTCGCGACCACCTCATCAGCTGAAGCCAAAATCAAAGGCTTGGCCACCACATCGCTGGTCAGAATGGTGCATCCAAGAAGCGGTCGCTGGCCTTCACGACGAGCCAAGATACGACGCAATTCAACTGCATGCATATGGCTCAAGAGACCACTTCAGCTCTCTGGCTGGAAAAATCGTCCGATTGTAGACGGTATATATAGCTTCCGGAGCGCTTGGAAATTCCTTCTGGGCCTCAGCCTCGGGTTCCGGAAGCTGCACCAATACGACAAATCTCTCAGCGCGCAAGGCTGACCAGCCGCAAGCCTGTCACTGGCCTTTGAACTGCCACGCCTGATCTCCAGCTCATGGTACTGCAGAGAACCTCCTGGCAGCACATCATTGGCAATCTCTGTCACTAGCAGCTGGCCGGTCCTCCACCAATTCCTGTCGGTTCAGTGAGGATCAGTTCGCCATCAACCCACGTTGAATTGTAAGACCCATCAAGAGTCACCTTCTCTCCGCTGTGGGCTGACAGGCTTGCTATCACCTCCAAAGTGCTCTCTCTGGGTGTCTATATATAAGGATCATGATAGTCCCAGATATGTAAAGGGTAGTAAAATCCCCTATCATTAACCAACCATCACTGATCAACTATATACATCCCACTACAAAATCATCCAGTTACAAAATCACCACATGGCTCATGGCTAAAGTCCCATATGTTTAGTGGTTAACCACCCCCTTGGGAATGATAGTTAAGTTAAATCCCCTTCAAATCACCCGTATATGATGATTAATTATACTAATCATAGTAGTCATCTATGAATCATGAGAGTAATTGTTGTAATCATCAATGGTAATTATAGTAATCATAGTAATTATCTATTGTAATCATCATTCTGACTAGTTCATGAGGAAAATGGTCAAATGCCCATGAAATAACTACCCTCTGGTAATTTAACGCCATTGAACATGGCTATAGAATAGTTGATTTACCCATTAAAAATAATGCTTTTCCATAGCTATATTATGTTAGTTAAATGGAGGTTTCCAAAAATAGGGGTACTCCTAAATCATCGATTTATAGATGGAATTTTCCATGAAATAAACCAACTGGCTTTTTGGGATTCCCCACGGACACCCCATAGTAATACCCTCTGGTAAACTAACATACTGTGGATGGAAGAAATCCTGCACCACCTTAGATGGTTGAAAGCCTACAAATAATGGGATAAACAATCTATCAGCTGGTGCAGGATTTCTTCCACCCACAGTAGCTATGAAAAATCACCATTGTTTATAGGTAAATCAACTATAAATGAGCCATTTTCCATATCAACCATCAACCAACAGTCATCAAAGTCGACACCCTGAGGCGCCGTGTCTTCTGGCACGTTGAGTACCAGTCGCAACTGCTGGTGCTCTCGACACAACGCCTGCCGTTGAGGCAAACAACGAAAGAAGGGCTTCTTAAGAAGCAGAAACCAGGTTAAACCAGGTTTAAGCCAACCAATAGCCATGGATTGTTCAGATTATTTATGAGATTTATGAAGGGCAAGTTGGTGATTGATGTTGCTGTATCTAGACTTGCTATGTGTTTATAGCATATTAATATCTGTAGTACATAGATGAGTTTTAATTCACCAACTTATCAATTCGGGCACCCACATAAAGTAGGAATACATGGGATATGCCAAAACATATTCGCTTTATCAAATCATGGACATCTGAGAGTACCCCCTTCTAGATACCTCATTGCTCTGGATGTGTTTGGGAAAATGAGAAGGATTCAGAACTGAAAAATGAGTTGGTGGTTGACCTACCCCTCTTAAAAATCTGAGTTCGTCAGTTGGGATGAATATTCCCAATATATGGGGAAAAAATGTTCCAAACCACCAACCAGATGATTGATGTCATTGGTGATTTACCACTCACAAATTCTCCAGTCGCAAAGCGTTACCTTCTGGAACTTCTGGGCAGAAGTTAATAGACAACCGGAAAAAAAATCAAGTGCTTCAAACATCACAGACGAAGAACGTATGAAAAATATATGTTAATGATATGATATGGTAAATTACAAACCATAGACTTCCTGGGATATACCGTAACTGAAGAAATCTCTGTCTTTAAACCAGTTATCTGGTATTCAAATGGGTGCAACTCCCCCAGGAAAAGTATATGTGTGTGCAAATCATATACTTGAATGTCACCTGCATACCTGGTGAATACCTGAAAAAAATACCATACAATCATCTAATATCAGTAAACATAATGTGTATATATATATACCTTATGACTATAATACAACTATTCACCAATTATGTACTAGAAGAACGACCCAGAAGTCAGGCCGTTCATCTGGATTATATGTATCAATGTATATGTAAAATATATACATTCATTATTACATATCCTGTATATTATATATAATTATATACACAGATACAATATATACACATATGTATATGCATAAATTTATATATATATAATTATATATATAAATATATATTAATGCACAAACTTTAACTATTATTGGAAATAAAACATGTTGGTCTTCAAACCGCGGAATAATACCCACAGCCCACAGCTGGCAGGATTTATTCTGCTTGTGTTTCTACGGGGAAAACCACGGAAAACGTCTTGAAATGGTGTTGCCTAGACACTCAAAGTACCAATTAAGATGGGTCAAAAGCGCAAACTGGTGGGGTAAAAAAACATATTCACGGACAAAAACAAACCACTCATTCTTATCGGGAAACGACCCTTTGTATTGATGATATTGGTTTGGGTATGGGTTTGTGGTCTGGGGAGATCTTGAATGCCACAGAGATTGATTGTTATTTTGCTGACCATATCTTGGTCAACCACCCATTTTTGACTGAATTTTGACCCGTCCCCATTTTGCGCTAAAATAATCACACACATAAATGACCTGTACCATGTTGTTGTTTTGAAGTCCTCAAAATTGCCATCAGCCCATCAGAGCAAGATATTCAGACAAGAAAAGATTGGTCCCAATGGGAAATCCACCGAGGAACCTATAGGGAATAATGTGGTTTTCATGTTGAGGCCCCAAATCACCAAACTGGTTGGTGGTTGACCTACCCTTCTGAAAAATATGAGTTCGTCAGTTGGGATTATGATTCTCAATATATGGAAAAATAAACATGTTCCAAACCACCAAATCACCAAATCTAGGTCTTGGAAATCCAAGATGGATCTGGGAAATGGCAGCATTGTCCCTTTTTCACGCTGGTCATGAACAAAACCGATGGGTCTTTGAAGCTAGCACGTCCCTCAACCAACATGGTTTGTACCGTGAGGAAAGAACAGCTGCCATAAATGTCAAGGGAAATCAATTCGCAAATCCATGGTTTTTACTGGTTTTAAGACAAAAACCCATGTCAGTGTCTTAAACATTAAGACAAAAACCTTGTCATTTTTTTTAGTCTTTAAATTTCCATTAAACAAACACCAGCCATGTCAGCGTCGCACTGCTTCACTTGAATTAGTGCCAAGACCCACGAACCCACGACCCATGGTGGTCGTGCAGTTGCCACGACCGGTCTTCATGGCGCCAAGAGCGTGGCCACGTGGCTTGAAACTTCGGATGGTTTCCCAAAAGGTGAAAAAAAATGTGAGCGAATTTTGGAAGAAACAACTATTGTTTTTTAGGTCACAACTTACTAAGCCGTGAAATAACAAAAAAAAATGGAATCATAACCCCATGTATAGCGATTTATAGCTGATAAAGGTCTGCAATTGCAGATTGACATGTTTTTCGCTTCGAGAAACCATGGTCCGATGGTAGATTGAAACTTCAAATAGATAGCTCGTGACATGCTGCCAAGCGCAGCTGTGGAAAGGAAAGTCAGCACACACGTGAGTGGGGGTGCAACTCAAATCCGCAGTCCGCGCTTTGAAAAAAGGTCACCGTCCGTTGATCTGTCTCAAAACTAGTGGTACTCCAGAATCCATGGAGGCCAAGTTACTTTGTTTCTTGGCCAATTTCCCAGCTTGTCTGGTTTCCCGATACCCTCTGGTAAACTAACATAACTATGGAAAATCACCATTTTCAATGGGAAAATCCACTATAAATGGTCATTTTCAATAGCTATGTTAGTTTCCCGATACCTTTCATGGGGGTTGTCTTCCCACGGCCAAGGAATGACACCGAACAATCTCATCCGAGTGAGAATACATGGCTGGGAAATCCTCCAACCAAATGAGCCAAGGAACAACACCTCCATATGAAAATATATTAAATAAATAAAAACCATAAAAAAAATATATAATGTAATAAAATAGAATATAATAGAATATAATAGAATATAAAATATAATATAATTTAATATAATAAAATATAATTTAATTTAATATAATATAATAAAATATAATATAATTTAATAAAATAAAATATAATTTAATAAAACAAAATATAACATAATTTGATATAATATTGAGATAAAGTAATATATTATTATTTAATATAATATAATATAATAAAATATAATATAATATAATTTAATATATTGTAAAAAAATAAAATAGAATATAATATAATTTAATATAAAAGAAAATAATAGAATATAAAATATAATAAAATAAAATAGAATTGAATAAAATACAATTTAAGATAATCTAATATGATATACTATAAAATAATTTGATATATTTTTTTTTAAAAAAATAAAATATAATATAATAAAATAAAATATAATATTATAAAGTATAATACAATAAAATATAATAATAATATATAATATAATATAATATATTATAATATAAAATATTTTATATTATAATATATATAAAATAAAATAATAGAATAGAATATTATTTAGTATAATAAAATGAAATATAATATAATAAAGTAAAATTAAATAAAATAGGATATCTTATAATATAATAAAATATAATTTAATATAATATAATAAAGTATAATAAAATAAAATACAATATAATATAATATAATTTGATTAAAAAACATAATATAAAAGAATAGAATAAAAAATAATAGAATATAATTTGCATAAAAAATATAATATAATAAAATATAATATCATTTAATTAAAAAATATAATAGAATAGAATAAAAAATAATAGAATATAATTTGAAAAATATAATATAATAAAATATAATTTAGTATAATAAAATATAATATAATATAATTGAATATAATACAGTATAATAATACAATAACTAAATTTATTGCAATATAACATATTATAATTTAATAAAATGTATTTTTATATAACATAAAAAATAAAACTATAAATAATTTAATAAAATTTAATAAAATAAATTGGAATAGAATACAATATAATTTAATATAATAGAATATAATAAAATATAATATAATATAATAGAATAGACTAGAATACAATATAATATATAATATATAATAAAAAAATATAATAAAATATAGTTTAAAAAAGAAAATAATAAAATATAATATGATAAAATTCAATAAAATATAGTATAATATAGGATAATAAACCATAATATAATATAATAAACTTTAAATTTAATATACTATAATATAATACAATATAATATATAATATAGAATAAAATAAAATATAATATAATATCTTATAATTTATAATATAGAAAATAATATACTATAATATTATAAAATATATTTTAATATAGTATAATATTAAAAAAAAATATAATATAATATAATAATATTATATATATATAGACATACATTATAAATAAAATATAAAATACAATACAATATATAGTATATAATAAAAAATATAGTGTACTACAGATAATAAAATATAATATACTATAATAAAATATAGAATAATATAATACAATATAATAAAATAATATAATATAATATAATAATAATTATTATATATAGACATACATTATAATTCAAACATAAAATAGAATACAATTTAAAATATATAATAAAATATAATATAATGTACTACAGATGATATAATGTAATATACTATAATATAATATAATATAACATAATATAATATAATATAATAAAATAAAATAAAATATAATATAATATAATATATTTTTAAATGGGAATATCATGAATATCATCCATAGATGTTGGATTTTCCAGCAAGCCATGCTTCATTAAGGAGGCTAAGTCATAGTGGGCTCTGGGGGAAGGAAGTTTCAGACAAGGTGGAGTTTACCTGGTTGGTGGTTGAGCCACCCTTCTGAAAAATGATGGAGTTCGTCAGTTGGAATGATGACATTCCCAATTTTTCTGGGAAGTCATAAATTTCATGTCCCAAACCACCAACCAGTTACCATTCTCAGATTGGATTTCATTGAGATCAATCCCCAACAAAAACATCCCAGCCGTGAGAATCGTCCGTCTGACCAATCCCAGTTCCCAGTGACTTCCATGGGTTTTTCACTATAGCTTTGTAGATGGTTCATAGCGATTCCTAGCCGGAAAAGGAAAAAACACGTCCCCACTATCACCACAACAAAAACTTAAAGTACCCTAATCCTCAAAAATGCAAAAACATGGGATCTGGCTGAGTATTACCTTTATGTGCATCCAGTCATTAGCTTTGTTGCTGGTGAAATTGGATAAGTGAGCAGGGAACTTGAACCCTGCGAATGTAACATTCCTTCATAGTGGTTGATTGACAGGGTTCCCAAAAACTATAAGAACCTTTAATCAACCAGGCAGTAAAACCCACTTTACATAGTAATTCATCAACAACATTGCCAAATTGCCCTCGTATGCACCAATCGCACCTCTGGCAATGCATTGTTTGAAATCCAATTAATAAAGGCTATACATTTTATACGTAGGTGCAATAGCCCGACGTTGCCATTCAAAAAATGTGGTAAACCAAATGCCGTAAACAACTGTCGCGTAGGGATGTTTTATACAACCCATAAACATTGCGATTTTGGTGATGGTTTATTATCAGAAGGGGGCACCCCAGAGTGCGGATTTTTCACTGTTCTCTTACACATGCACTGACAGTTTTCTGCTTCGCACATCTGCAGTGGCTATGTGGCTATGTCACTACTCTGAAACCATTGACAATTTCTGCCTGGCATCTCTGCAATGGCTATACAAAACAAAAAGAATGAAAAGAAAGAAATGACAAGACCCAACTCTGTGCCACTACTCCCCCCTTGGGGTGTGCAATCTTGTTTTTCTTTTGTTGTTTTTGGTTTCTTTTTTTTGTTTCTTGATTTGTTGGCTGGCAAAACAAAAAAACATAGCAGGACCTAACTCGTTGCCACTGCTTCCCCCGGAGGGTTAGCAAACTTTTTTGGGTCTGTGGTTTCGATTCAAAACCTCGTAAAAACATGAACAAATGCAGGTAATCTTGGGGGAAGTTCAGGGGCTTGGGGCATGGATTTGGCAATCTTGTCATTGATTTATGTCTCAAAATATGCCAAAAGACTGTGCCAAAACATAGGCTTAGGCAGCCAGTGAGTTTGTAGGACTGAGTTTGATGTTGACATTGTCCAGCCAAACCCCCACGTGCACTTCTTTTGAAATGGTAGAGCATTCCATTTAAGTAGCACATGTTTGCTTCCATGTCAAAAATGAATCCTATTGCGCATGCAATGCCCTTTTCACAATATTTGGTATTGTTGAAATGAAACGCATGTAAAAATATGTCCTTCAAATGTGTACATTGTTTCTTTGAATACATGATGTTATATGGTTCCAAGACAGCGAAAGCTTATGTTGAGAATAACACTAGGCAGCTCTGGAAAGTATTATCTGGACATGCATCTTTGAGTCAGACAAACATTATAATAGTATATTGTAAGATGATTGATGTATTCATTGTATGCATGAGGCACTCTGAAAAGCTTTTATCGGCGTCCTTGAAGAATCCGCTCTTTGATCTTCTCCGAACAACACGAGTGAGATATAGCTGATTTTCCACGACATTATCGTTACTATCGTTGGATAGTAGAAAAATGTAGAAAACATTTCTTCAGGTGAGGCTTGTCTCTTTAAACCGTAAATGAAGGGGCTGATCGAAGGGAATAGTACATATGTCAAGCAAAAATCATCCAGTTTTGCAAGAATGCGGCTTCTTCATAGGTAGATTGTGTCGCCATACAAGACAATGTTGTAACAAGCGAAGAGCATTCTTTGATAATGCTCACACGTTCAAGCTCATTGAACTTTTGAGAGGGATGCTCTATGTCAAAAATACTGCATACTGTGAACATATGTCCTTTTGTAAAATGGGCACTGCTCCTTTAAAAGGAGACATGTGGGAATGCACGCTGCACTGCTTCAAAGGGCATGGTGTATCTTCTAAAGGAATGCTTCATATTTTGTAGGGATATTGTTCTTGCAAAATCACACTGCATTGCTCCAAACGGAGATTACACTTGTTAAGAACGATATGCTGCACGTTTTTTTTGCATACTGCATTTGTTGACAGGTATGGGAATGTTGTAATTACTGCATGTTGAAGATATCTAGCAGCATCTAGCATATTCTGCAGGAAATTGTGTTTAGTGAAAGGGACACTGTAGCATTTATCTAAGGTTGAGTGAACACCTGGACACTTCTTCAAGCAAAACATACTCTCTAGTGG